TGTCTGATGCTGCAGGACGTCCTTGCAGGCCACCCCAGGATTTCTCAACTTGCTACAGCCTTTCTTTATTCCACTTCCTCTTTGAAAGTACAAAATTCTGAATGATGTAAAAAAAAAGAAAAAAAAGGTTTTTGATTTCTTCCCTTTAAATACTACCAAATTTTCTAAAAGTTGTGGTTTTAAGGACTTATCAGAATTCAAACTACCAACTCCAGAATTTCTCCACTATATTTTTATCAGCTGTTCCTTTGATTATTAGCTCACAAGGCAGGGGCCTGGTCAGTATTTTCTGGGGAGATCTACAACCCAATTAAATCGTGTTCCAAATACAGTCTCCAAACTTGCTAGCAAGAATGATGTTGACCAACCAGTTTCCAGAGACACTTATAATTAGAAGAAGGTCGGAGGGTCAGCAGCTGGCATTAGGTGTTGGTAGACACACAGGGGATTCAGAGGCTATTTTTGTGCTCTAACTACTTTTAGAAAATAAAGCAGAGTCCACATTTTCTAGCTTATGTTCCCAGCCCAATACATGAGTCTCTTCCTCCCTGAAAAGTCATAATAGAAAAACACAATAACCCTGGGTGAGAGCAGATCCCAAGATTTTATATACAGATCCTTATGAAGAGAGAATTTAAAAAGCTATAATTTAAAGTTTCTGTAATTTCCGGCCTCATGCGGGATGGGAGCTTGAGTTTTCTCTGAGGCTGGCCTTATTTTTCTTCTGGGAAAGCACCCCAGAGGGGAATGACTCTTCTGAGAAGGAGACAGCTTGTGGCTTTGGCTCCAAGGAGCTAAACTCCTTTGCATAATAATGTAAAGGCTGTAATTAGTGTGGTCAGGTTACATTTTTTGCAGATTGTGATTCTTTTTTTTTTTTTAAATTAAGTCATAGCTGTGTACATTAATGCAATCATGGGGTACAATGTGCTAGTTCTACACATGATCTGAAATGCTTTCATCAAACTGGTCAGATTGCGATTCTTCTGAGTAATTTTTTAGTTTTATTTTCTTATCCATATATGGATTTAGACCACGTGCCAATATTTTATTGTTTTATTTTGAGGAGTTGGTGCACAGTTCCTTATAGGAAATTCCAGGAAAGGATCCCCAGACTGTAGGAAACCTTTACAGCAGGGCTCCTCAAACTTTTTAAACAGGGGGCCAGTTCACTGTTCCTCAGACTGTTGGAGGGCCGGACTGCGGGCCCCAGGATGAGTCAGCTGCTAAGCAGGACAGGCAGCGGTGGCAAAAACACCAGGCAGGCCAGATAAATGTCCTAGGTGGGCCACACGTGGCCGTGGGCCGTAGTTTGAGGATGCCTGCTTTACAGGATGGGTCTTCTCTTTACTTCCCTGCACTGGAAGAGAGACCACTGGAAAAGAGAAAGAAAGAAGGAAAGTAAGGTAAGGTCAAGTGAGGGGAAAAAAGAGAAGGCATTGACTGGGTCGGGAACAGTGCAACTTGCACTAGATTACTGGTGCTTTGCCTGGGGTGTTACTTGAAAAAGAATAATCCAGACTTTGGGATGTGTACTGGTGCTGGGCCATGCACTGTAATACTTTGGGAGATCATAGGGCAGGATTGTTCCAACTGATTTTTATGAATACATTTTTCTTCCAAAATAAGCAGGTACGTCCACTGGGGATTACCCTGGGAAGGGGTCACCAGCGCAAGGCAACTGTTTGCCCCAAGGCAGCAGCAGCCTGAAGAGGCTGAGGTGGGAGAGTGGGAGGCACTGTCTGTAAACTACGGTTCTTGTTCCCTTCTTTACTTTTCTGACTTTCACATAATTCAGATCCAACATAAGCAAAAGCAAATAGGTCATGCTTTTCATGCCAGCTTTCATCCCTGCTTCATGCCTGCCCCCACCCCTGTTTCAAACTTACCTCCTGGAGTTTTATCTCCTCAGACAGCACCTCATCCACAGCTTGTGCTTGCCAGTAACCCCAAAGCCATCCAGGACCCCTTGCTTTCACCATAGGCTCCAGATCCCAATAATCAGAGTACATTTTTCTGGCCATGAGGGAGCAAAACTGCCTGCAATTCCCCTCCATCTGTAAGCGGCTATAAACAAGGATAAAATATAGAAAACACTGATTTGGATATAAGGCAAAAGACTGATTCCTGAGATAAGGGAAACAAACCAGGTGAGCCCTGCCCTCAGCGGGCCCATCTGCCTGGTGAAGGGAGAACCCCAGCAAAGTCAGGCAACTTCACAGAGTTGAGGAGACAGAGATCAGAGACTGGGGTGGTGAACGGGGTTTAGGGGCAAGTAGCTAGAATCTCTGAAGTAGAGTTCTCAAGAGAAGGGACTGCACAGAAAAATCGCTCCAGAAATCTGCACAGGAGTCCATTAAATCTTTTTCAAACACAAATCTGTGTAAATATAAAGTGGAAATCCGTAAGGCCAGACAAGAAAACATCTGATGAAAGAACAATCATGAAAGGCTCTAATATGAACAATTCCCTGAACTCACGCAGAACAAAAAATCATCCAAATTCCCTCCAGCCAGAGCAAAGAAACCTCACTGGCTGCCCTCATAGGGCATTTAAAAGAAGTTCCAGAAGGGCCAAGACTTAGAAGGAGAGTTAAATCAGTCCTGGAGTAAAGACTACTCTAACCTTACAGAGGTTGTAAATAACCTTAAGAGAATCAGACTAATCTATAAACTATTGGAAGAAGTCCAATATCTTTGGAGGAATACAATAAAATTCAGAACTCCACAATGTGAATTCTAAGTTGTTAGCATTTAGTGAAAAATTACAACACACAAAAATTAGAAAGAAAAAGTTCCATAATGAGGAGAAAATTAGTTAATAAAAATATTCAGGAAAAAAGGAGGGATTGTGAAGTTTAGCGGAAAGGACATTAGGATTGCTATTCTAAATATACTGGAGGATATAAAGGACAAGATGAGGTGATAAATAAAACATATAAACCTACAATGGAACCTCTAGAGAAAAATACAATCTGAAATAAAAACTATATTAGAAGGGATTAGCAGTAAATTAGAAACCATAGGAAAAAAGATCAGTGAATCTGAGGATAAAGCAATAGGAACTATTTAAAATAAAACAAGAGTGAAAAAGACTAGAAAATAATGAAGAGATCCTTTTTGACCATGGGACAAAAATCATCCCAAAAGAGGAGACGAAGGAGAGAGAGAAAAGAATACAAAGAAATAAATTTTGGACTTTTATTAAAAGCCCAAACCTAAGGATTCAAGAATCCCCATGAATCCCTTAGAGAATAAATATAAAAACAATCACACCCCGGTGTACCATCATCCAGTTGCAGAAAACAGTGGTAAAGAGAAAACCTTAGAAGCAGCCAGAGAATATCACGTTCAGATAAAGACAATAATGACAAAAGGCTTCTACTTCTGCAAAAATAGAGGACCTGGGTGGTAGAATACTTTTTTTCACTCTTCTTCAAACTGTCTATCACTGTATAAAGTCTTTTGAATCTATGATATTCTTTTTTTTTAATCTCAGTCTTAAAATTCATGATATTCTTCACAATAAAAAGTTTGTTTTTGTTTTTTTGTTTTTTTTTTTAAGGAAGAAGGTGGGCCTGGAAAGCAACAGGGTTGTTTTTTTGTTTTGTTTTTTTGGCTGGGGCTGGGTTTGAACCCACCACCTCTGGCATATATGGGGCCGGCGTCCTACTCCGTTGAGCCCAGGCGCCGCCCACGTGATGATTTTTTTCTCCTGCTCCTTGTGTATGACCTGCATACAGTCCTTGTATTTCAATTCCCTCATGGTCAAGTGGCAGAACTGGCTCATGTTGAGATGTCTTTCTGTCCCAATATTCGGTGACTCAGTAGAGAGCAGGCAAGTTTGAAGGGATCTTGGGAGGACATCTGGTCTGTGTCCATAATTTCCAGCAGAATTACTGGTTAATTAAAACCAGTTCATGCAAAATTGAACCAATTTGATTTGGAAATCCCACCCCTCCCTTTTCCCAGGAAGAAATTACATAGCCTTGTTATATGTCTGAACATTCTTCCATTCTGCATAGATTCTCCATGATTTGGGGCCTCTTTTGAAACAATGTGACAATACATTCAAGGTTGGCAAAGGCTGGGGGGACTAAATGTACAGGTCGCTGCTTGCCACCTGTCATGGTTCCCACCACTCAATGGAACCGTATGTCCTTCCTTGACACAACAGAGCTGAGCTGTCACAGGGAGGGGGCGTGCGCTCACGTGCACTGTGTGGACAGGCAAGCAGCAGGGAAGGCTGCTTCGTGTTCTCCTCAGCCAATAATGTATTTGCCAAGTTGATGGTACAGATGCAACATTCAGTTTTCTCTAAAGGTTAGCATTTCTCCATGGCAGGGCAACTCCCGGGCATACGGTTCAATATAAATATTTCCTCATGATGCAGAACAAGCCCCCTGTTTCTCATAGCCCAGAACTGCACTGCACTGGAGATCAGATTAACTACAGCTAAATTTTATCGCTGTGTGACCCGACTGGGTGTATGCAACCTGGGATACTGAATACCCTACTTTATGTTGCTTTTATTCTGAGTTTCATTTGGTTAGTTCCTTAGGAGCCACTGAGCAATAGTAAGCAGTAAAGTAATGAAATGTGGTAAATCTGTTTGAAGAGAAATATGACGAAAGATACTTTCTTCAGTTTCATAGCAGCCTCATGCATAGTGTGCCTTACTTTGGTTTACAAAGTACTAAAACTAGTTCTCATGAGGAAAAAGGCTGAATTTATTGCTCTGGGAAACAGAGCTTGTTCAACTTTACATTAGGTAAAAGTTCTTTGTTTTATAGATATGCCATAAAAATCTAGGTCATAATCATTAGCTGCCACTCATCCTGGGGGCGGCGGCAGGTCTACCAGCTTCCCTGGAGGTCTTCTGAGACACTGGAGCGTAAGGGCTGCACGTCAGGGGAGGCTCTGCCAGGCTCCTGGCTTCCCCACCTGCCAACCCACAGCCTGGCCAAGGGTACTGGGAGGTTGGCAGGGAAATAGGTTACCACCCAAGAGACTTGAGGGTCCTTGATCATAAACTCTGAGGGTCAGGCCTTTCTGCTGATAACTGAAAGAATTTTACACTTGTTTCTTGGAAAGCTATCAGTACAGTAAACTGGGAAGATTTCTGGGCACTGGCCCAAACCAATTAAAGGTGATTTTCAAGGGAAATCAGGATAAAGGTTGGGGGAGGTCCTGCCTTCTTAAACAACTAGCTTCTCAAGGGGCTTTAGCAAACATACAAGTTCCATGTACCACCCCAAACCCTTACCACTGAGTGAAATGAGAAACCTTCCTAAAGGGAGTGAGTGTGCAGGATTGAGAACCCATCAGAGTAAGGTTTTTGAAGGAGCTGTGCCTGGAGACTGCTGCCACCCAGAAAATCTCCATGCAAATGTGTCTTCTGGACACTCCTTCAGGGCACGTGTTTTTAAACACTCCTTGGAAATAGCGACCCACTGGGGCTCAGCAGAGAGGTCGCTGCACCAAGTGTTGGACAGCCTGAGTCTGCTCTGCATGTCACTGGCCAGCTGGGCCAGCCGTGGGCAGGTCACTCACGGACAGGGTTTCTTCCCCAGGCTGCAGCTGTGGCAATGTCCAGGGCTCCTCCCTCCCAGGACAGGCTCTGGAGCCCAGCAGGGCCCAGAAAGAAGTAAATGGGCAATGACAACCCTGAAAAGTCCCATGGAAGGGCAGTGGGCATGGGCTACGTGCCCCCAGTTTGGGGGTTAGTTGGCTTTCTGGGGGAGCTCATGTCCATGAGAAACATGGATGGCACTTTCTAGGGAGGTATTGGTGTTCCCCACAGGTGGCCAGCTGCTGGGAGCACGGCTCTCCCCAGACTCTCTGGGGAATCAATCCCTTCAGTGGTAAAGCTGCAGGCTTTGTTCTCTGACAGAGGGAGTGAGAGTGAGCCCCAACTGATTCACACAGACATTTTCTCATGTTTTTCATATTAGTGTTCTTAGGGGCCTTACCCAGCAATTTTGCTTGCAACCCCTCCCTGACCTTGCCTCTAAGCTGCACTGCTGTATTATTAGTAGTTATCTATTGCCATGTAACAAATTAACCCCAACACTCAGTGGCTTAAAATAGCCACGAATACTTATGTCCTGCAGTTTCAGTGGGTCAGGAACCTGGCAGTGGCTTCATTGTGGGTGGAAACAACAAAGGCCATAGACAGCAGAGGGTAAGGCTCCTTGAGAACCGTCTTGGAAACTCCCAATAGCACCCCTAAGATACTGAGCAAGTTCCACCTCCCGGCCACGTTCCACTTCCCAGCCACTCTCACCTTTCTGATTGCAATATTGCCTAATGGTGGTGAATTCTGTTTCTCCACCATTTTCAATTGAGACTTTTGGTGACTATCTTCTGCTTGTCTGGTGGGGGCATTTCGGACATGCCAGGCAGGTCCTGGCAGTTTCTTAGCAGTTCTCCCTGTTGCACAGTATAATGATCTACACTGGCTTTTCAAGTTAATGAAGGAATAGTTTTCTGATGTGCTCTTGAACTTTGTACTCAATCCTGAAATATAAATGTAAAATAACATGATAAGGCCTTAGATTCATGTTGGTCACAAGAAGCTCCATCACGGAACTTCCTTCCCCCTTCTTCTCCTCTGGGCTATCTCTCAGCACCCTTGTTATATGGATAATACCAAGTTAAAATATGTTGGAAACAGAGTATAGACCATTTTTTTCAGAACTCACATGAGCTGATTTTTTAAAAACAGAGAACCAGAAAGTAGAAGTTACATAAGCCATATAAATCTTATAAGACAACTGTAGACAGGTGTAAGATTACAGCTTAATTCACTTTCATCAATGATTTCTAATTAAAACTTCTCTAATGGCCTAATATGATTAGAGTATTAAATTTCCTGCTATAGCATGTCATATGAAGACTTATAATTCTAGAAATCTATGGGTATACTAGTAGGCAACCACATTTTCTGGGAATTCTGCTTATTTCTAGAACTTTTTCAGTCACCCAGAAGTTTAAAAATTGCACTACTAATCTCAGGGAAGCATTGCATAGTCTTACCAGTTATGCAAAATAATTTCTTCCCTTAAAGGAGGAGTTTCTTTTTATAAATACATTTTCCTACACAGGTAATGGATCTGGAAGACGAATTATTTGTTTCACTCTCTATACTCCCAGAAAAGGAAATAAATTCCAGTGGAGTCATATGAGATCTCTTCCCTGCAAAGCAGCTATCCAAAAACAAGACCAGAATTTATCAATAACAAAAAGAGGACTCCCCCAAACCTAGGGAAAAAAAGATCTGAGCTTACTGAATGTCAGAGGCCCACATTCCTCACCTGCAGTCAAGAAGCCCCACACTTACCAGGTCTCCCTTACAGTTTTCACCCTTTATTTTTTTAGCTTTAAAAACTATTTGCTGGCCAGAACTATAGTTTCTCTAGAGGGAAAGCACTGGAGGCTAATTAAATTCTGGATTATAGGTTAGGCATGGGGGTTCACATCTGAAATCTTACACTTTGGTAGGTCAAGGTAGGAGAACTGCTTGAGGCCAGGAGTTTAAGACCAGACTGAACAAGAGAGAGACCCCTATCTCTACAAAAAAAAAAACAGAAAAAAATAGACTCTAGATGATCTCACTGCCCTGGACTGGATGACCTTCCAGCTTCGTCCGCAGTCATTCTGGTCCCCACCTGAGGCCCACACTAACCACAGCAGAATTGGTGTCTACTATTCCAGAATTGGTCCTCTTTCTCCAAAACCTGCTCTTTTTCATCTTGGTTGAAAACTAAAGCCTTCCAAATGATAAGCCAAGAACCCCTAGACACTGCTTCTCTCAAACAAGTGTCTAAGCCAGTAGGCTCTAACCCTCATAACATATCCAGAATCACCATTTCTCATCCCCTCCACTGCCGCCACAGTGGTACCAGCCATCATGGTCATCTTTTGCCTAGATTCATAATCAGTGCCCTTGTTTCTTCTCCCATGCTCATGCCCCTGTCAGACCACACCATTCATTCCCTTGGTCCCCGGCCCATTTTAATCAGGGTTAAGTCAATGCCTTTCACATGGCCCACAAGGCCAGTTGACTGGGTCTGGGCTCCACATCCTTCCTTTCTGCTCCTCCTACTTTGGCTAGTCTGGGATCCTGGCATTTGTTGAACATGTGGGCTGTTCCCTATGTCTGAAAAGCTTCAAACAGCCATGGGGCCAACTCCCTCACCTTGTTCAAGTCTCTGCCCAAGGAAGCCACCCTAACCATCTCCCTTACCTTGTGCTATTTTTTCCCACTGTACTTGTGACTTTCTAATGCACTCTATAATTCACTTATTTAAGTTTATCATTTGTTTCTCCTTGCTAGAATGTAAGGTCAGTGTTCACTGATACAAACCAAGTATCTACAGTAGTAGTAGTGCTTGGCACACAGCAAATACTAAATATCTATTCAATGAAATAAGCATTGTTAAAAATAAAAGCTCTACGAAGCACTAAGGACTAAAGCACATGAAGAAACAGAATCAGAGTGGAAAAGGAATTGATTGGAGTCCCTCCATTCTCAGATACAGTCACTTTGACATATGGAAAATACATCTATTTGAAATACCTTTATTGTGTTATTTAAAATAAGACATTATGTAGGATACAGCAACATGAACATTTTAAACATCAATACATAAGGACCATGGCATCCAAGAATATTTATAAACACTGACCATTTTTAAGTATCAACAAATACTCAATACATTGGCAGTTTTAGCATAACACCAGATCATGTGCAATTTAAAAAAAGACAGCAAAAACAGTTAGTAAACTGAAGTCAAATAAAAGCTACTCATTATTAATGTACATAGTTACCATTCAATAATAAAAAAAAAAAAGCTACTCATTGACAAGCCCATGTTTTACCTTTTTGCTACAATAGGCAACAAGTAACAGTAAAATATATACCTAATACACAAATTGTTAGAATGTATAATAAAAATATAAAGAAATAAAAACAAATACAAATATGGTAAGCAAACAATACTGTAAAACTTAATATATGAGTAGCACATAAGGAAGATTTTTATATTCCTTTAAATATGATTCTGGATTTAATTTTGGCATATTACTACAGTTTTTTTTTTTTAATGCAATGGTTGGTTGCTTAAGCTTCTGGAAATAGGCAAAAATAAAATCATTTATTGTTTTAAAATTGTAAAGCCAGTTTAATTTAAAATTGTAGCTGGTTTTTTGCAGGTGCCTATAATCCCAGCTACTTGGGAAGCTGAGGCAAAGGGATCACTTGAACCCAAGAGTTTGAAGTTGCTGTGAGCTATGATGCCACAGCACCCTATCCAGGGCACAGAGTGAGATTTTGTCTCAAAAAAAAAATAAATTAATTAAAAAAATAAATCAAAATGGTTCTAAAACTAATGTACAATTGGAATGTGCAGAATGATTTTATTTTTTGGTCCACACGGCATATAAACCATCAAAAACTTAAATAAAATTCAGTTCTCTGTAAATAGATTTGGAATTATCTTGGCTTTCAAAAATTGTCATTTTTACAATGAACCAAAATTTTCATTGATTTCTCTAGTGCATCTGAGCACAGAAATTTAGTCTGAACATAGAATCTATTCTCTGAATATAGAAAATTAAATCAACAATCTGCCTATCTAAATTAAATCACATATACATATACACTTACATATATGCATACATTTTTAAAACTTTTATTATAAATATAAGAAAAAAATAAACCTATTTCATACAAGAAAATAGGCTGATGTTAAATTAGCAGGTTTTGCCACATGTGTTAATATTTATCTAAATGAAATATTATACTATAAATTCTAAATTTTAGATACTAATGGAGTAGAGAAGTTATCTAGATTATTTAAAGAACTGACAGATATTACACACTACGTCAGCAGTGGATTTATCTTTTTAATTATTTGCTTAGTGTAAAATAATAACCTAAGTCTCCACTACCTAAGGCATAATGTGTAGGCAGTAGCAGGAAGGCAGCCCGGGAATGCCCAGAGCAGTGAGGAAGGCGTTTTTTTGTTTGTTTGTTTTGCAGTTTCTGGCCAGGGCTGGGTTTGAACCTACCACCTCCAGCATATGGGGCCAGCGCCCTACCCTTTTGAGCCACAGGCACTGCCCAAAGGCTGGTTTTAAGGATGCTTACATGCCATGAATAACTGTGTGGCCAAGTATGAATATTTATTGACCTAACTTTCATTAACAAATATTTTCCCACAGCCTCACAAACAAAATGACATGCTACCCTTTACAGCAGTCTACTAATTATCTACAATACCAGATTTAGAATGAGAAAGGAACATTCAAAATGGGCTTTAAAGCAAATATATGTCCTTATGAAAATAGTAAAATAATTGAGAAATATAGATAATTCTGGGAAACAAAAATGGTTACAGCAAAGACATACTGAAAATTAATGAACTAAACACAATTTCAGGAGTGAGATATGTATTTACAGTTTTGAAGGAGACTGTTTTTGTTTTTAATTGCAAGTTTAGTGAAGTGGTAGAAACAATAAATCACATTAAAATATAAAAGTTCAATTTACACTTGCATCTCTACTGATTATTTCTGTGTGATTGTTTCAATGAAATATGCAATGAAGTCTTTGTTTCTTTTAACTGTATTACAATAATTATAAAATTTTATAAATTAAACATTTAAAATGTTTGAAAGCCAAAATAATGCTCATTAAGTGGGAACTTTATTTCTGTTTCTTTTTTTCAAATATTAGGTAATTTATTTGTAGTATGGACAAAAAGGTCATTCTGAATATGCACTTCAATAAATTTATGTCCCTAAGCCTGGGCCAGCAATCCAGAGTGGATCTGCTGGAGACTGGACCATCAACCCATGGGCTAGGATCATGGCAGTTTCATCCATTTCAGTAGTGCACAAAGCACCTACTCACTGCCTGGCACACAGCAGATACAGATGCGTATTACCAGACACAGAAATCTCCACTCCAAAAAAGCTCTAGTTCAATGTAAAATAAGTTTTATGTTTGCTTATTCAGGGCTTCGTTATTAGTTTGAATGTAAAAACAAATAAAATTTAGTGAGGGATCAGGTATGGTAGTCACACCCAAAATGTAATAATGTATACATTCTTTTTTTCTTATAAAGTACTTTATATTATGTTAGAGACAGATACTTTAGTGTTTATGGTTGAAATTTCATAGTATTTTGACTTTGCTTTAAAATATGACAACAAAAATATGTCTGAGGAAGAGATGAAAACAGTCACAATATTAATTACTGGCAGATCTGGACAATAGGTTCTCAGTACTATTATCTGTACTTTGTGACTTGAAAAGTTTGATAATGTAAATAATGAATTCAAATAAATTTCAATAATAAAAATAGTAAGCACAATTAAAGATATTTTCAACTATCAAAACTATTATATAAGATCACTGGATATTCTGCAAAGATCTGCACAAGACTACTTATATGACATTGTTATAACAGTAAAAAATTGTCAATCAACAAGGCACTAGTTAAATGCAATACATCCACATTCAACAAAATGCACCAAAAACATTATTATAAAGAAATTGTCAAGTGAAAAAAAGAGGCTCCCATGGTAGGATAGAGAGCTGATGCTATCCTCAGAGGAGTATGAGAGCATCTTGAAGAGTGTTGATCCAATGTTCGGAATGGTCATTTCTGCAAAGAGGAATTATGGATTTTTTTACTTTTTCCTTGATACCACTCTGTATTTCTCAAACTTTAACAGGCATACATATTATTAATTTTACATATGGGGAAACTTCTATAATGATACCTATATAATTTTTCTCATATTATTCATTCTAGTTGATGAAATAATTTTTTTAAATTTTTTTTTTTTGAGACAGAGTCTCAAACTGTCCCCCTGGGTAGAGTGCTGTGGCTTCACAGCTCACAGAAACCTCCAACTCCTGCACTCAAGTGAGTCTCCTGCCTCTGCCTCCCAAGTAGCTGGGAACATAGGCGTCCACCACAATGCTTGGCTATTTTTTGGTTGCAGCCAATATTGTTGTTTTGGTAGGCCCAGGCTGGATTTGAACCCACCACCTTAGGTGTATGTGGCTGGCACCTTAGCCACTTGAGCCACAGGCACCAAGCCTAATTTTTCTAATTTTAAAAATTGTGCTAGGTCTTTAAGTAATTCAAAGTGGAAAAGTGCTATACTTCTAAAAATACAAGTAACATCTTTTAATATATATTTTTCTCAACTATCTACTTAGTGCATTAAAATGTAAGATGTTAAAACTACATAAAATACATCATCATCTATATAGGAATAGACTTAAATACCTTTTGGTTAATTAAGATCAGGGTGAAAATTCTATTAGTTATAAGAAGAAATAGCATTTGGAAAAGAAAATATTTTCTAGTTAGTACTTAAAGAATTTGAACTAAAAGTATTCTAATAGTTCTATGCAAAAAAGTATTTGTGGATATTTTAGTAATATGTTTGCTTTTAGAAAAGAGCAGATGGCAGAATGGAATAAAATGTAATTTCCAGATACATGGTTTTGTAAACCAGTGCTATGGACTCAGCATCAAATCTCAAGTTTAAATTCAGCTAGCACTGTAACACTTTTAGAGTAAAATTTAACAATTAATCTTTGAAACATCATTTAAGGTTGATTATTTTGGGTAAGAGTCTCAAAGTGCCTACACTATCCTAAAAGCTGTTTGAATATTCTATCCTTTGACAGTCTGCTGTTGCTGTATACTCTTCCTGGCCTCGGTGCCTTGACCCTCACTTCCCTAGTGTTTCTTAATTACTATTTCTAGATGATCTTGGGAAAGTCATTTAAGTCCCTCCTTAAGGGGTTTAAAAGCCTAGCATACAATGAATGTCCCCAGATTAAAAACATTTTTTTACCTGGTTACTAGCAGCACTGGATTGCTCTTTATGGGTAGCAGTGGGATGATGCCTCTTTGAAGTTTTTGAAGACTCCAGACACACTTTCCTTTTACACCTGTGCGCTGTTTTGCTTACTATCAACCTGGGATCACTTACATCAACTTCTTGAACTTGAATTGCTGATTGTTGCTGTAGCACCTGGGGATATTCCAGTCCCACAGCTGATTCAAAAATGTGTGGTTTTCTTTGCAGTTGTAGTGATTCATGGCCCTTCCCTAAAATTTGTGTTATGCATTTTTTTGTTAAATTTTCTTTTCCATTTACTTGGGAGTCACCAGCACTTTTTATCATCCCTGGATTATTTGCTATATGAAATACTGCACTATTAGGGAGTTGTTTACTTTCATTTAAACTCGAAATTGATTTTCTACTAGAAGAGGTACATTCTGTCATTTCTTTACAGGACTCAGCATTTATTTCTTGCAGAAGTCTGGAACTCTTCTGATTTAAATTTTTGGCATGCACGTGAATGTTAGTATCAGATCTTTCTTTTAAAGCTGGTCCTAAATCCAGTTTGTCACTCTGGATCATACTAGCTTTAAGTGAAAACACTTTGTATTCTGTAACATGTTTTCTTTGCAGGTTGCCAAGTGCTGAGATATTTTCGTTCATCTGTAATGAACTATTGTTGAAAACTGGTATGAATTTAGGGGTGATGTTATTTTGGCAGCAAAGGTTTGTGTGTTTAACTTGAGTATCTCCTCTGTTCAGTTTTAATACTTCCAAACATTCTTGTGGTACTTTGTTAGATGGGAATTTCTTGTGGCCCTGCATAGATTGTGGCTGGAGACAGGGAACTAAGGAAGTGTCTGACTTTGGCTGGCTGACTGAAAACTCCCCCTTGTGGTCAGCTGTTGCTGAACTAGGTGGAAGACTTTGCACCAAGGTGGGTTTTATTGAAGTGGCTTGAGTCACAGATGCCCTGAATGTTTTTTTAGTGGTCAAATTAGGTGGCTTGACTTTGTTTTCCTAAAAGGATAGATATTATGAAAATTAAAAAATGAAAGTTTTTGTAATGGAAAATAAATAAAATATATAATATCCCCCAAATAAAAATATAAAGGAATACCATGATATAATAAAGAAAAATAAAAATGGGTCATCTGGCAGAAATATGTTATATACATTTCTTATGGTTTGTATCCTTCTTTAGGTACCATCCTTTAAAGATAGTAGTTTAAGATGAAAGTATATAAATCAACTATAAAAACTGTACACACAAGTACCACTGGCCTCCAAAGATGTCCATGATGCTATCCTGTTCAGATGGACATCTCCTTCTTCTCTTCACTGATCAAACTGTCCTTTAAGTCCTCAAAACCCCACCTCCTCTGAATCCTTCACTAATCAAAGCACCACAGAATGACTTTTTTCCCCCTCAGCTCTCCAAGGATCTCCTATCAATTAAATACCATTTGTTGCAAAAAATAATACAAGGTGAGCACTTTTACCTTTGGTACACGTGTTCCCTCTCCCTAAGTAGATACCAGATTCCTGGAGCATATTATTATATCCTTCAAAGTTACTCAAAAATACTTGGTGAAAGACATTACATTAATGGAGAAAGGGGCTGCAGCTACACTGGGAATGAGTGGGGTTTCAACTACAAGGCAGGGCTGTCTTAGTTATGTTTATTTTTTCACTGCCTATCACAGTGCCTGGTACCTGCAATTCAGCAAGTACTCAAACTTGTCAGATGTATTAGAGAGAGTCAAGTGCTTACAGTCTTTTTTTTTTTAAATCCTGGTTATATATATGTGCATGTGTGCATAAATATATATATATATACACACTGAACTATTCAGTGACTTTAAGTACATTCATCACCATGCTTCTGTTAAATGACCACTGTCACTATTTCCAAAACTTTTTCTTCATTCCAAAAAGAAACTCTGCACTCTGTAAGCAAGAATCCCCCCATTTCCCTTTCCTCCTAGCCCTTGGTAGCCTCTATTTTACTTTCTGTTTATAAATTTGCCCATCCTAAGTACTTCATGTAAGTGGAATCATACAATAAGTGTCTTTTTGTGTCTGGCTTATTTTACTGAATATGATGTTTTCAAGGTTCATTCATGTTGTAGCATGCATCAGAATTTCATTCCCCTTTATGGCTGAGTACTCCATTGTACGTACATACCACATTTTGTTTCTCTTTTCATCTGCTAATGGAAAGTATTAATAGTATCTTAAAACACTTATCTATTAAATCCTAATGTCTGTAAAAGAGCAGCAACAATCTGAAACACTGAACATATAGAATTCTTTTCTCAACTTCCCACACCCAAAAAGAGATTCAAAGCTCGATAAAATGTTTTAACCTGCTAGGAGTAATATACAAACCACAACACTAGCTTTTCTCTCTCCTACTGGAGGTTCGATTATTGAATGAGATTGAGAAGCAAATGGAGAGAGCTTGGGGGATCAGGGTGATAAATATGCATAGGAAAAGAGACTAATCCAGTTACCTATTAGGCATTACAAATTATACCAAAATTTAGTTGCTTAAAACCAGTAGTAATTATCTTATCATTTCTCAAGATTCTTGGGGTTGGCTTGGCTTAACTTGCAACCTCTCATTTTGGGTGGTTAGATGACTCTGGAGTCAAAATCACTATCAAGTTACTTCCTCATTCGCTTGTGATGGTTGATGCTGTTGACTACAATATCTCTTTATGTACCTGGGATCCTTCACAGATGGTGGTGGGATTCCAAAAGCAAATGTTCCCAGGGAGACCAAGTAGAAGCTTTTTCTCTTTAATGGCCTAGCCTCAGACTTGAGCAGCTTCACTCCAACACAGGGCCAACTAGATTCAAGAGGAGAGAATACATACCCACACCTCAATGGGAGGAGGGTTGTCACTGGCCGGAAGAGCACATGGGGTGGGCAATCTTGCTGTAGCTACTTTGGAAAATGTAGTAGACGTCACAGAACAGTCTGTCTCTGGCCAGAACCATGTCGTTCTCTCCCTGCCTCCAAGCCTCCAGTGTTGCCACTATCAGTGGCCTAGAGAGGGCTGGTACACTTTGGAAAGGAGCCGCACACAACCCTGATTTAGAGAAGCTGAAGGAGGAGATATGGCCAACTTCTGGTCCATACCACCAACTATGTGTGCCAGTGGTTCCTGATGAATGTGCACGCAGTGGGTGTGCATGGCGGCCTCACTCAGCCTCAAGCATCACTAGGGCTTTTACTTCATTGCCACTTCCTCCATTGTGTGCCTCTTTGAGCCAGAATTATGTGGAGAAGGGAATTCTGGGAAACATGTTTCCAGAATCCTTAAGTTGACATAATAGAGAGTTATCATAGAGAATATACTTCTCCCACCTTGACTATTCTTAGGAAAAGTGGGAAGTCACCAAAGAAATATTGTCCTTGAGACAATACTGGGGTGGGGGTATGAGGGTGATGCTAACAACACGTGACTGGGCTCATTTCTTGTCTGAAGATTTCTCAAGTTGGTGGCTTTCCATGCCACCAGACAAGATGATACCTTATCTTAGTTTGGGCTGCTATAACAAAGTAACTAGGTAGCTTGTAAACAACAGAAGTAATTTATTTCTAACTGTTCTGGATGCTGGGAAGTCTAAGGTTCAGGCAAATCTCTCTTGGGTCTATTTTATAAGAGCACTAATCCAGTTTATGAGTGCTCTGCCTCCTAATACCTAATCATTTTCACCTTCTAATAGTAGCTTTTTAAAAAAAAAATAGCATCATCTTGGGGGTTAGGATATCAACACTTGAATTTGGGAGGAATATAAACATTCAGACAAGGGTATACCCTTCTTTGATTGCCCTTATTTTTAAGAAGTAACAGAAGAAGATCCAGCCAGTTTTCATGGTCCTAAAAAAAGGAATACAGAGGCTAATGGAGGAAAAATTGCAGGCTTATTGCCCCTTCACATTGCTTGCCTAAGTGACAAGACATGTATCAACAAGGGGTTTATATTATTTGCAAGGGCTGCTATAACAAAGTTCCACAAACTAGGTGGCTTAAACAACAGAAACATGTTATCTCACAGCTTCAGAGACTAGAAGTCTGAAATCAAGGTGTTGGGAGGGTTGGTTCCTTAGAGGGCTATGAACAAAGGATCTGTTCCAGGCATCTCTCCTTGGCGTATAGGTGGCTGTCTTCATATTCCATGGCATTCTCATTCTGTGTGTGTCTATGTCTAAACTGTCCCTTTCTGTGAGAACACCAGGCATTTTAGATTAGGGGTCCACCCTACTCCAATAAGACATCTTACTGCAGGGACCCTATTTACATTTGAGGCACTAGGAATTCAATATAGGGATTTGGGGGGACACAATTCAACTCATAACAGTTTGCTATATACTGCTGGAAAGAGTAAAGAGGGGACGCAGCTGTTTTCCTGAAGACCTTCTATACAGGGAGCTGAGGTAAAGTTAAAAGTATCTGATAAAACCTTATACACCATCTTGTCAAGATACCATGCAACCAGAGACCACCACCAACAGATCAACCCAGGTCATGAAGGGAAGGTCTTTCCCCACCCACTTTAGCCCTCTGTAACTTCACAATGGATAGGGAGGATGGGTGTTTAACTTATATTCCACCTTCCTCCTAGTGCTCCTGTTTGGACCACAGCCTGGATATCTCACATCAAGATTTCATTTTTTGTAGCTAGGGTTCCAGTATGATTTAAGCTAGCCAATCAAATGCACACATAAAGCACACATTCAAGCCATACTTCTGCTATTTTGCTGAAAAGCTTAATTATGAATTCCTTTTATTTTGAGTTGTAGAATTAGCAGAGCAGAGCACCAGCACCTACTCCCTCATTACAGAGTTCACTAGGCTCATGTATAGTCTGCACTGTGTCACACACCATTGCCCTCACCCCATGCAAGCTTTCCCTGCATAGAGATGCTATCATGAGAAGGGATCTTAAATTTGATTGAAATTCTGCTTCAAAGAAATGCTTTTTCAGAAGTGACTGAGTCACTGTGAAGTATCCAGATTGAATTTTTTTCCATTTTATGAAAAAGGGTTTGAGAACAAAGTTGAAATCAATTCTAGAAAAACAACACCCATTTATTGAAACCTTGAGTTCTATTAACTGTAGTAATGCTGAAACAACATATCTGTTACTTGAGATACCAAAATAAAAACTCATAGATTCATATAAAAATGAATTATTTATATTCTGACATAAAACTTTTCTAGAATATATGTCTTATATCTGAAATGTTTATATTCACACCCTGGTTCTTCTTCACCAATCTCTCAGAAATACATTTCTAGAAATATATTTCTGGTGAAAATAATTTCTAAAAGTATGTTTTGCCCCCTAGCTTGTCTATGTATCATTTACTAATCCCTTTAATTTTTAAAATTCAATAAATAGCCCAAAGAGGAGAACCTTTAGGTTTATATTCAAAATTTATAAAAATACAAAAAGAGTTTATGTAAACAGCAGATGAGATCATAAATAATTCACAGAACTTAAATATACTTAAGTGATCAACAAACCAAAGCTTTATGAACTCATAAGCCAATTAAAAAATATTCTTTACTATATCATTATAATTCTTCTGTTAGATGTCATTGGCAAATGTAACTTGGCTGACTTAACTTCTATAATTTACATACAATTTATATAACTTTACATATTAACATAAAATTATAGAAGAAAACCAAAAGCATTAACCTATTCTTAGATATAAATATCTACCTATTTATATCTATAGGTTTAGGGGTTTAGTATTAAAGTAATAATTAAATGAAACATGAGAAATTAAGATAATGGTCAAATGTGTTTAATCTATTAAAATCTGGTTCAGTGGATTGTATCTCCTCAGTGTATTTTTCTGCTTAAGTTGAACCAGAGTTTAATGAAGCTTAGATATATAACCACAGGTTTATAGGAAATAAGGAGTTTAAAAGAGGATGTTAATTTTAAATGATATGACACAACAAAAGCAGTCAAATACAGAATATGGGCTGTTC